GGTAGGAGGTACGGTACTCTTCCAGCCATATCACATCTCTGGTATGTACCTTGGTATACCACGTGGTTCTAAAAAGCCACCCGATTGGCTGAGAGATCTGGGAACCTTTTTGCAGCTTTTCGGTCGACGCGCACCCTGACTCACATGAACTTGATCTTCGCTGCAGTCCATCTACCAAGCGGGCGGCCGCAAGTTCGTCCTGACGAACTTTGGGCAGTTTGGGTGCACCCCCGCGGCCATCCTGCGAAACAGGGGCGTCTGCAGGTGAGGCTCCTTTCTCTTACATCTAGAGTGTTCTCGAACGTTGGACGATGCTAAACGGCTCAGTGTTATACAATTGGAGCTTTTGTCAAACGCTTCGGTGATCCTAAACAGCTTTCCCCACGTCAGAAGCAGATTTCTGGATCAGTCGTGGCTGGCGAGAAGAGTTTACTTACTCCCGGAACGGACGGCTATCACCCAGCGAAGCGTAAAACCATCAACTCGTGGAACTTAGCAAAGCCTGACGTCATCGTACCTTATGATGACGTCATCCTTCGTTGCAGCACCAACGTTTCGTGAGGATTTGGCGAGTCCGACCAAGCATCAAATCGTAGTTCAAGGATGAGATGCATAAGAATTGACCTTATTTTGCCTCGTGCTGACGTTTTATCCGCGGTTCTCCAACAGCGCTATCATCTTGTCAGACTGCAGACTCCTGGTATACTTAACCAACCGTCAAACCCAGGTCCGGGCACGCCACTCCACACGAGAAAATTTCGGCGATATCGTTGTGCCTCGTGCTGACGTCATCTTCTCTCTCTCGCAGTGTCAACATCTCGTCCGACTGCAGACTCCTGGCGTACCAAAGCAACCGTCAAAACCAGATCCGGGCACGCCACTCGACCCTAAACACTACTGGCGAACTTGTTGTGCCTCGTGCTGACGTCATCTTCTCTCTCTCGCAGCATCAACATCTCGTCCGACTGCTGGATCCTGGCGAACCAAACCAACCGTCACAACCAGATCCCGGCACGCGACTTGACCCTAAACACTACTGGCGGATCTCTTGTGCCTCGTGCTGACGTCATCTTTTCCCTCTCGCAGTATCAACATTTCGTCCGACCGCCGGATCCTGGCGAGCCAAACCACCGTCAAAGCCAGATCCCGGCACGCCACTTGACCCTGAACACTACTGGCGAACTTGTTGTGCCGTGCTGACGTCATCTTTTCCCTCTCGCAGCATCAACATCTCGAATGACTGCCGGATCCTGGCGAACCAGACGAACTACTTGGCGCAGAAGCTGCAGTCGCAGTTCCCCGACGCGACGTTCATCGTGGGAGACGCCTTCACCTTCAACATCGACATCGCCAAAAACCCGGCGCAATTCGGTGAGCCCATCCACCATCGTATCAGCGTTTGCTTTCGTCAACAAATAAACCATTATTTGTCCTGCCGAAAATTTCAGAAATATAGTTCAGGCATCAAATAGAGAGCGGGATGTTTCAGCAGGTAACGTTGGGTCTGCCGAACTTCTTCATCGTTTCATACTCCATTATGTGGCGTCGAACCTGACGAATTGAACCGCTGGTACGTTATTCTGAACGCATCCTCTTTGGTCACTAGCACAATTTTCTGAGCCCCTTTTGAATCCCCGCCCCCCTAAACGTATCGAGAACGTGTCCTCGATGGCTGTGGGTCATGAGCGAGTGTAGACGAAGAGAGGCAGTGCCGGACTCGAGCGAAAAGGACAGAAAAGTCTGCAAACATTAACAGGAGTAGAGACGACCGGAAATTCTACTTCTCTGCGCGCACATTCTGGTTGGGGGTGCAGACGCAATTGGGGATAAATCAGTGGGAACAAAAGTGTGCCCCTTCTGTTGGCTCTACCAAAGCGGCTCGTGAACTTTGATCAAACGGAGGCCCTATTCCCAAGGGACCGTGCTTTATGGAGATCGCCACGCTTTGAGCGCGTCACCAGCGGCCGCGCCACCCGTTCTCGTTCCGCTTTTGTTTCGCTCGCCTTCCGCTACCAGATCGTCAGCCGTCCTAATATAGCGTTCGCCTAGCGCACCTTATCGCTACTTTGCCTTCTGCTTGCTGCTGAAGTCATTTCTCGCCGAATTATTTTCCAGGCGTCACTCGTTGGAACCAATCCTGTTGTGGGGGGGGCACGCCGGAGCTTGGCAATACACAGGTTCAAGTAAGGGCTCGTCTCCCCGTTCTTTTCTCGTCTCTTTCGTTTCTGGATTCTTGCTTCTTATCTCAAACGAACTCTCCGGTCTCGTCGATAATTGATTCGTTGTCACAGACCAGTCACCGGACATCGTTGTTCAGAGCACCTTCCTGAAAGAACCTAAAACGTTAAGGAAGAGGAACTGTGCTCCGTTCTTCTAAGTCACTTGTGGAGCGCCGCGGTTGACGACGTTTTTCGGAGGCATAATGCCTGTGCGATTCCGTTTTCCACTTTTGTGACCGGTTGAAAACAATGAAAAGTTGGCCCATGAAGCATGACAGTGTTTCATGGTGCGTCGTTCTGGCCAACTTAGTAACTGCCCAATCCTGGTACCCTTGGAAACTGCGGCGAAATCTGGCGGATGTATCCTTCAAGTTTGCATTGACCTCACTTGTGTCACGTCGCGTCCTCTGCAGTGCAATCAGCTGACGTCACAGATCGCTAGTAACGCAACTGGGAGGGTGACGAACGCGACGTTCCCGGTGACCATCTGTCCGGTAAGACCTGCCTTTCAAATTCGGATCTCTCTTCTTTCCTTCGCAGTTGCTTTCTCCCAGGACTCAGCTTAGCAGTAAACAAGCAATCTAATATATCAGGCATCGTCAGATCTGGCCGAAGTTTTGATGACCTTTCACTACCTTCAGACCCGAAGTTTATTGATCGTTTCTGCGTGCTGGCGACTACCTTGACTGACATCCACTCGATCGCGTGAGTGAATTCGCAAGGAAAGCTTTCTCATCGCCTTCGCTAACCCCATACCCCTTTTTGAATATCTGTTGCCAATTGCTGGCTTTACCTCTTTCACATGATGCATTTGCAACTGCTCGCAGAACCTTTATTCATGCGGAAGTGCTTTCCAATCCCAACGTCTCCGTTTTCGTGAACCACCATCTTTAACCTTGTGCTTAACCCGTTTTTTACTCCGCAGAACCCTTCGGAGTACCTCTGGTGGGACCAGGTCCACATGACGGAAGCCATGAACCGCTTCCTGGCAAACGACATTTTCGGGGGGTCCACGTACGTCTTCCCGCAAAACATGATCCAAGCGTTCATTCTGCCCCAACTCTTGAAGCTGAGCAAGTGATGGATGGCCTTTTGGGGTCTTCCAAATTCTGGCTGGAGGGCGGAAAGAGGGTTTTGATGTTCAAAGCAAACCCGAGGAGAGGGGGGGATACAAAGAGCGCTGTTGAAGGTCAGCAAGTGGCATAAGGTGTTTGGGAGTTGGATCGTAGATGGCTGGAGGGTGGAAACATAAAAGCCCGTTTCCTCAAGAAGAGGGGAGGGTAATTCTTGGAAAAGTTTTAGGATTTTGGAACAGGGCGTTGATACCAGATTCCCTTTCGTCAAGATAAGGGGGATGAAAAGGAGATTCGAGGAAAAAGACGAGAGGGAAGCCCAAAACGCAAGAAAAGATGCTTACAAAGCAACGCAGGTGACTAGGCCCTAGTAGTTCAGGTCCGTGCGAGGCCCTTTCCTGCGGTGCCCCGCGGTGGCTTTCCCTTCATTGCTCGCTGCAAAGTGGGGTGGAAAGGTTTTTGACGCTGTCCGAGCACATAAGTAAGACTAAAAAACGGCCACAGAGTAGCTAAGTTCTAGGTTGGTTACGAGGTCAAGTCGTTAAGTCCATTAGCGCGAGTTGGTTATTTCTACGTACCACGTGTAGCGTAAAGGAAACAACGCACGAAAGCATTGGTTGAGAAGGATCAGTATCGTTAAAGCCCAACCGCCTTTGAAGGTCGATAACGGACAGTTCAGTTGTACAGAGTAGTACACGCTTTCAGTAGGTTCAGCGCTTGCGCGAACAACTCCGGCAGTCGTAGTTAGCCTAAGAGTAGGTGAGTTGGTGTATCTACTGTTGCTACGAACGGTCCGTCCAGTCGTGACGGTTGTCCATACGTGCATACCTAAGGTTAAAGCCTGATGGCTGGTTCGTGCAAAGTGGCCAGGTCCCGGTGGACATTGGAAGGACAATAAGCCGTTGGGTGGAGCCTCGCGGTTGCGGGCCCTCATATGTGATACTTACCTGTGTGCAACATTTTTTTCCGCCTGGCAAGATCAGTCGTGTCCTTGAGACGCTCACGATCGCGAGCTGGCCCGCTAGTCGGAAGCTGAGATGGTCTGGCATGCTGCTGACTCAGGAGTTGTTCGCAAGCTGAGACGACAGGGGCCTTATAGTATCTGATCTGATCGTCGTCCGACCGCTAGCTTTAATGTTGCATTCTCAACCATGATGGTCCATGGCGGCCGCGCTCGATTGAGGAATCGAGTTAGCATGAAAGCTGTCGACATGGTAGCCAAAGCCGTATGATGTGCGCCAACTGCGCGTTCGGCCCTATAAAGAGGTAATGATAGCACTCAAAGTGATACCGGTTTATCATGTTACACGTAATCGCGGAATAAGTTCATGCCACACATGGTTGCCCCATGCATATACGCGCGCGTCGCATGGACAGACTGCTATATTCAACAGTTAAAGCCAGACGCTGCGTGTGGCAATTGAATATATAGCAGTCATGCACTAGCAGGCCAGCACATGGCGGCAATGTGCATCGTTGCACGGTAAATGAGCACGGTAAGCATCATTGAATTACTCAGAAATGCTTGCCGCTCCTAGCATATAACAACAATGCCAGAATCTATACGTACGAAAGTTCAACTGTCACAACTGCATGACCCCATGTGCAGTGGCCACAGTCAATCTCAATCGTCATGCTGTGGAGCCATCTGGTGTACGGTTTTGAGAGACTGAGCACACTCGTTCACTGTGAAGATCCTTAATGTAATCAGAGAGTCCATTTGTTTCCGCTACACAAAATACGCGCAAGCCAGAAGCCTAGATCGACAAGTTGCAAGAAGCCTAAAGTTGTTCACTGCTGCAGTCGCTGTCCAACCAATGCAGTTACCCACCCTACTTAGGCGATCCCAGTATGTAACAACGCGAGCAGTCCGTCAGTTGCAAGCGGCGGGTGCCATTGGCGATCTCTCTTGCGGGCCATATTTGCAAAGCCAACTGCGGGCAATACCTTAGCATTAAGGCGCCACTCCGTAAGTAGATTCGATCTGCGGCACTACAAACGTCTTGAGAATGTTCCCCGGGTAAACCCAAGACGAACCGCGGAGGACTTCGTGGCTAAGCTGGCGGTTCATCGCTTGGGTGAGATGGAACTGGTCCCAAAACTGGTACGTACCGGGGTTCTGGAAGTGGAAGGAAATGGTTTGAATAGGATTGGGATCGATGCATACCAGGATCAAGAGCAAAAAGTCTTCGATACAAGAACCCAACTCAGATAATCAGGACGGACAGATAAAAACACCCGATTCTCAAAAGAAGCTATATCATCCAAATCTAGGATCAGTGATGAGAACGAATCAGGTTCTTGTAATCCGATCTGGAACCGCCAGGCAAGCGAGCGTCAAAGCGGTTCGTAGGAAGCAGGAAACTACACAAAATGCAATGGCTGCAGAAAGACCGTATCCAGTCTCCTCGAGCAGATTCTGGGAACGATTTTAGGAGGCAGAAAGACTGACCAGCGCACGACAAACTCCGCGGAAAGAATGAAGGGAGAGCTCGGAAAATAGTCTCGGAACCGAGTCTTTAATGGCTGATCCATTAATTTGGCTCCAGTACCCACCCGCCAGGCTTTTCTAACTTTCCCTTTTTGGGAAAAATGGTAGATTTCTTGAACTTCTTAGGGAATCACTGGTAGAAGCAAGAGCAGGAAATCAATGGTAGATGCAAGAGCAAGTTGCAGAGACGGTAATTTATTTTTACACCCGATTGCCAGATCCGCCAGGCCCAACTAACAACTCACCGCCCAACAGAGAGGATTCTAATAGTTGCCTTTGTCCAGAACGCACAGAAGCTGCTGTCCTCCCTGAAGAAGAGATGGCAACGGACGGCTTTGATGCCGTGCCGAGGTCCATCGAAGGGCTGGGATTCAAGCGTTCAAGCGGGGCTGAATGTTCGGCTTACCGAGCAGACCTTTCTAGGATACGTCACCCCGTTCACCGTCGCGGGCTTCTCATCGGCGCACTGCACGATGCATCAAATAGATTGTTAGCACCAACTTTGAGAAGACTCCCGAACTCAAAGCCCAAGCATCCTTGTATGTGAGGCGATGGCAGTGAGTGCGCCGTCAACGCATTCAAGGATGGAGACAGACCAGGAAGGTTGTGCTCTTGAGCGGAAGTTACAATTCCGTTTGTGTTTTGCGGACCTTGAATGTCCAACACTAAAGCTGGAAGGGGACTTTGATATGAGAACAGCTCAAGTCGGAAGCACCGCAATGCCACCGCAAAGTTCGCCGCCACCAAACGCTGAAGCGTTAGCTGGTATGAAGCCCGGAAAAAAAGGCGTTAGCAGAGACGGAAGAAGGTCGGGGCTGCGTGCGAAAAAGTCGCGTGTGATATCCCCTCCAATATTACTGCCAGAAGCAATGAACAGAAATCGTAGACTCGCCTTCGCAACACCGGACCAAGCTTTTGCAAAAATCCGGGCAAATCGACGGTCTGAGCTCCTCAAAAAGCTTCACGAGAGCCCTTGATCCGCAGGTGATAGCAGCCAAGGAACTCCGAAGCGGCAGCGAAGAGTACGAAAGTCTGCATTCTACTACTACCAATTCGGCCAGAAGAGTCTTATGCCACGTCATCCGGCGACACGGATCGCGTCTCCGTCCCCAAAGGCAAGACGAAGGCCGCAGTGTGCCCCTAAATGCCCATACGCTCCAAACGATAAAGAATTAAATTGCTGAGAATGCCTACGTCCACTCACAGTAGTATATGTGTTGCCGAGCCCCGGCACTCCGCCTCCGCAGCATGCGTCGACGATGTTTGTTACACCTGGCAAGGAAGAAGATGACCTCAGAGCTTGCAAGTGTGGCAGGATCTAAGGTGACGGGAACCATAACCAACTCTTCACCATCCTGCGAGTCGGTTTTAATTACGTCCGGCTGAGGCAAAGCCAATCCGTCATCAGGTTTGCCGGAAATCAATCTTGGTAGGATAGGCAAAAAGCAGAGACCAAGCGCGGCGGAGGCTTCGGCGGACGAAAACGAGCCCGCAAAGGTGATGGCGCTGCGAGTCTCTTTGCATCTAGAGTCACTCCCTGGGTTGAGCCCAAAAGTTTGACACCAGGAGTTTGGAACCAGTCTATCTCCAGAATTCAAATGTCTTGGTCTTTTTAGGACTGTGAAGAACGGGAGCCTCAGAGGATGACATCATTGGGGCCTCACCAAATCTGAAGGGATCTTCTTCGACCACCCCAATTGAGCCCAAACGTATTTACCACCAGGAGTTGCAATCAATAATCCAGAGTTCTGTAAGGCTTCTGGTAGTTTTTCAAGGGTATTCTGACAGATGATTCCTGGGAAACCAAAACCGAAGATGTCATCGTTGGGGCCTCACCAAACCTAGAGGGATCCCCCTCGACCTCCCGATTGAATCCAAACATGTCTCCTACGAGAATCCGGGCGTCCGGCACAGACGCCGCGAGCCTGGCGGGCAGCGCGGCGGTTGCAGCTGCGAGCGAGCTGCATATGCTGCTCACCGTGGGACTGGAGACAGAGGAAGTGACGTCAGCAGAGGAAGTGACGTCAGCAGAGGAAGTGACGTCAGCAGAGGGCGCCGTGTGCTGACGGGCAAACGCTCTTTCTGATTCTTAGCAATACGTCGCTTGAAGAGAACAGGGGTAAGAGAAAAGGGGAAGGATTGGGCAGTATGCTTACAGGAACGATATCGGAAGAAATACAGGACGACAACACCGCGAATTGCAGCCCATTCCAGTTTTAGGGTGCTGCTAAAGCGACGCAAGCAAACGCAAGAGCAGACCTGGTCACATGACTAAGGTCAGCAGAACAGAGAACCACTGCTGGTCACTTTTATACTGCAGCGTGTAGGGAGCCCGTGGAAATAGCCATACGAGGCCAAAATTTGCCCGGGGTTATTGGGTGAGATTGTCCGAAGCGCCATCCCTACAGCTGCCGTTCGAACCAGGCGCTAGCAGCGGAGCATGGGCTCTTCAAACCCAGATCGCTACTTGCTCAAGGTAACAATCGTAAGTTGAAACGACAGTGGTTCTTGCATTAACAACGGCCCTAACCACGCCCCAAACTGGTAGCTAACCCACCCCGTCGTTGCAGCAAATTGTTAACCAACTCGTAGTCTTTGACTGGGGTTCCCTGGAACCTCGGTTTTACCGTCATCACCACCGGTGTCAACAGTGGCCTAACCGGGGCGCTAACCCACCTGCACGTCCCGTTGTTTATTTGGCGCGCCAAAGGTGAACAGCCGATGTTACCCAGGCTGAACAGGACGAAGTTCCTCCCGCCAGCAGCGTAGATGGCCTGCAAAGTAGCGCCCCGTGAGACTGCCGCGCATTAAGGCTTGCAAGTCCAGGCACGCTCGTCTTTGACCTGTGGTACGGCTGACTTCGGGTTACGTGCTGGTTAGAGGACATGACTGCCCCCTTTCTCTGAGGTAGCAAGGTTTCGCCTCGCGAATCTGCCAGTCACAATTGGGTCCAGACATAGTCAGATCACCAGAGTTTTCAATCTAACCAAAAGCAACGTTACCTCCACATCTCACGCACTCATGCTGGTAGACACCGCGGTGCGCTGAAGTGCAAAGTGGTACCTACCTGCCGGGTTTGGCCGAGACTAAACCCCTTTCGAAAAAGGCGAAACTGGCATTTCGCCGACTCCAAACGAACCGAGCGCTTCAGCATCCCTCACGCTTACCTTCACAAACTGCCCGTACATTGCCGTCATCTCCTCGACGAACACGTCAGCAGCCGGGCCCGGCTTGCCGTGTTGCACCACCATGAACTTGAGGACGTCGTTTGCGCCGACCAACACCATGTACAGCGCTTTTGCGAACGCGGAGGGAGGGGGATATTGGGGCGCCAGGGGCGGGTTATCGGCGTGCTGCGCCCAGTAGTCGATGGAGGCTTCCTGGAAGGCGAGAAAGTTCTCGACCTGCGCAAAGAGCGGTATTGTTGAATTTAGTAGCACTTAAAGTGCTTTTGCCAGCGCGGAGGGAAGGGGATACTGGCGCGCGGCGGGCGGGTTATTGGCGTGCTGCGCCCAGTAGTCAATGGAGGCTTTCTGGAAGGCAAGAAAGTTCTCGACCTGCAACAAGAACGTCCTTATCAGATGAAGGTTTCACGGGCGAGGTTCAAAAGTCGTAGGGCGGGGAATACTAGGGTGGTGCCCCTGGAGAGGAGTTGACGCACTGCGCCCAGTAGTATGATCGACATTTTTTGGGAAGTGAAATCTCGGCCGGCGAACAGAGAATGCCTGTCAAACTCGGTGAGATTTAGAAGTCGTTGAACGGGCCGAGGTAGGGAGTACCGGGGCGCAGCAGGGGGGCGTAGTGCATCCAGTGAATGTTGGAGGCTCTCTGGCTGTCGAGAAAGTTCTCAACCTTCTAAAAAGGGTTACTGTCTATTGTAGTGAAACTGACGGCGCTTTTGCAAAGGCAGACAACGGAGATACTGGGGCGCTGCGGGATTGGCAGTGGCGTGCTGAGCCTGTTAGTTGCGGAAGGGCTTTTGGAAGGCAAGAAAATTCTCGACCTGCGAAAGGGGCGGAAGGTCGAGCACAGGGCTGGGGACAACGGAAGCTACTTGACAGAGTACCAGAAGAACAGATTCAGAGAAGCAATAATGAGTACCGATTCAATTGACCGCGACGAGGAGGAGGCAAGGAGAAGGAAACAAAATCGAAGCAACAAGACACGATACAATCAGAATGTTACTCTCGGATACTCCATCTCTCTATTTCCGGACAAAATTTTCGAATGTAAACCAGGAAAGCTGGGGAGGAGGAAGACGAGGAGAGCAGCACAGAGCAGTCAACCTTCATACTTGGAAAGAGTGACTAGACGCGGGCAGAAAACAAGAGGATTCGCGTCCTCACCTGCGCGAAGAGGTGCGTCTTGATAGCGGGGTTATGCATGTTGCGTGTTGCGTTGAGCAGCCCGCTCCCTGACACCGCAAAACTGGTCCCATGGGAAAAGGAGGCGTTGGGGGCGAAGTTTGGTGGCAAAATCGGCAGCCCCAACCCTTCAGCTGCAACAATTGGAGGAGGGTATTTAGCAGATACGAGGTTTGGAAGGATTCCAGAAGTAGTGGTGGGGTATGCAATCACGGAGAAACGTGGCCAAAGATGATGGATTAAGCCGTGCAACTAACTGGGCCTGATATCTGCTGGAAATCGGTACTGAGAAGGCCAGGCTCTAATAACACCGTTGAACATAAGGAGCAGAGCCAGAGGTAGCACGAAAGTAAGGGCTCTTCGGAATGAGTTCAAAGACGACTTTGAGCAACACTGGGGCAGTTTCAAAGGGCCAGTACGGAGCAAGCAAGCAACAATCCAGAATCAAAGCGCGGGGCACAAAAAAGCTGTCTACGCATTGCGAGTAACCGACTGCTGACTCATCGATCGACAACAGTCAACCAAAGTTGGGTTCTTTGATGGCCTATGCAAGAGAAAAACCTTTAGAGAAGGATGCTCCATCAAGTAGTCTCCATCATCAAGGAGGCTCGTCGCTTACCTAGAAAGTCTGGGACAAGCAGGCCATCGCAGAAGCGGCCCCGCAGCGCATCCCCGCCCTTATAGCTCTCCCCATATGGCGCGTACTTCGTCGCCTTATATGGCGTCACGTTCAGATACAGGGTATTCCCAAGGTCGAAGTCAGAGTCTCCGAAAGCAAAAAGCGCCGGCAGGTAAGGGAATAGGCCAAAGGTTTGCCCAAGTTCTGACCTCCTTTTGATGTTTCCAGGCGAGCCCCCGTGCAGGTTTTGGTATTCTAACTTTTGACGCAAGGAGCGCTTGTCAGCTTGGGCGCTCCTCTGTGTCGTTGAACTGGTGTTAAGCTGGGGACCTTCATGTGGTGAGGCATCTGTAGACTTGCCTTTACCCTGGGAGGTTCTGTCAAAGTGAGGGTCTCCTAAAAAGCCCAATGTGTCGTGTTGCTCAGCTTGTTTCCCCAGTGCAAACTCTCTGTTTTGAATTACAGGAATAGACAGTAAGCGAGGGAGTTTCAGCAAGCGGCCCTCACTAGTGGCACAGAAAAATGCACAGAGGAGGCTAAGCACCGTCAGGATTGACCTGCCCCCTCTGCTGGCTGGGGGCATTCTGTCCTGAGATTTTCGACTGACACGTCCCACGAAGAACCTGCTTTTGTGGAAGTGCTTAGTTCGTTGTTGTCTGCTTCACTGGCACAGAAGATGCTGCTGAAATATGGTTCAAGGACCTTTTTCAGCAGAGCAACTTCTCCTTGCTTGTCGCTCAATGACGATTACAAACAAGTCTGCAAGGCTTAGGCAAAGCAATCTTCCTCATGGAAATGTGCAATGTGAAGCACAAGGTTAGCTGCACATTGTGGAAGTCAGAATGTGTAGTCCATTGTCCGTAGGAGGGGGCCAATTGAAAGCTCAGGGGATTTGCTTCTTTCTAAGGCTGACGGCATTGCCTCAGAAACAGCCTTACGATACATCCACCACTTGCAACTACTACTAGTGTCTAGCTTATCAACAAAGTCTTTTCCTGAGTCAGCTTTTTTTAGCCTTCCTTGCACAATCAGATGCGGGGGACGTATGGTAGCATTCTAGAAGTGCAAGTCTCTGCATGAAGGAGAGACCTTCACAACAGGCGGGCAATCCTACTACGCTGAAGCGGGAGTGCCGCTCAGAATGGCTCAGAAATTAGAATGCTGTGCTCTGCTCTGCACCCGGAAGCCATGCTCTCGGGTGGTGTTCCAGAGGCGCATTGTTATCAGGAGATCCTGCGGACTTTCGGTGGCGAACTTTACGCTCGCCGTGGGGGTGTTGGGTCGCCAACAAAGGCGTCAAACTTGAACCCTCTGAAAACCGCGCGGTGCCACGGACTCGTCCGACGGTCGCGCCGGGCGGCCGCAGAATGAGACGCGCAGCCGGCCGCGAGAGGAGGGCAAGGAGAGTATCCAACAAGGGACTCGCAGATAATCTTACATCGCGCATGCAGCTGTGGGCGATGACTCGATATGCAGATTATTGCAGGGCACGACCTCATCGCCACATTCATAAGCTTTCAATGATCAACCGCATAGTTTAGTGCGCCCTCATAATTGAACCTCATGTAAAGAACCGGTGCAAGGAACTGACTCCAGCGATCAACGGCTTGTAAGCATCATTGCTAGGGCAAGCACGCCTGTGTTTTGAATTGAAAAGTATTGTTGGACGGAGCCTAGCCTAGCCCAGTGATGTCTGGTCGCTCCTCCACTTCAATTGCGTCAAGACAAGTCCAATCTCCTTTAATATGATTTTCCCATCATCTCTTGTGTTCCAAAACCGATCTTGTAAACCTGAACATCAATCTGATGCAGATTCTAAATTCATGCTTCAAACATTTGGAAGGAGAGACCTTAATCAGCCACTCTTTAAGGAGCGAACCCAACTAGTCGGTCCAGTTCGACTGCAAAGTTACCTGCATCCGCTTTTGGATACTCTACAAGAGAGCTTTGATCGAACTGACCAACGCGTTCTGGCAGGTTGCTCGGCTTTGCTACGACAAGAAACCTGTTGTCCGCCAAAGCGTCAGCCAATTCTTGTTGGTGATTGTCCATCAAAAGCTCGTTGACTACCACCACGAGGGGCCTTTTCGCTCGCAAGGTCTCAAAGATGCTCCCAGAACCTGTAGAATCGAAATGCCACTTGTTTTCTTAGGTTGAACAACCTGCTTGAATTTGGTTTCCTCAGAACGACGAGCCAAACACTCCAGAAATGCCCGGACCAGAATGAAGGTCGACCTATGTGGCAGATGAGCTGTCTTTCCCCATCCTTCTGAGCTCGACACTTCAGAAAAGTGTGATGATTGTACACCGTAAGTTCATGAGGCTATTGTCAATCCGTGAAGTATCCAGGACCATGAAGCACACGGTGAAGCGAAATCCGCAGCTTTTGAGACGTCAAGCAGATGCCATAAGAACGCTGGTCACCTGCGTGGCTGATGACGAGGCCCGCGTTTTTGACGTAGTCTGCTAGAGACGGTTTGAATGTGAATGCCTCAACACGCAGAGCTCGGCCCCCGTCCTCAAAAACGCCCTGCAAATCTACGAAAATCGAATCAGTCTGTGTCAAACAAGGATGTTTCAACCAGGGAAATGAAGAGCAAAGCCTGAAGAGCTAAAGAGAAAAGGCTTTTGTTCCATTATTGCTTTCTCGCCTCTTTGAAGAATGGTGTATGACAAGATGCAATTCGTCAAGGTAGTGGAAGCGAGAGTTTATCTTCCTTGTGTTTTAAGGGCGACACTTCTTCTTACTCAAGCTTTGACGAATTGCAAGCTCGAGAGAATCAATGCCAATCAAATTACAAGGGGGGCAACAGTTTCCTCGTTCGGGGAAGAGTCAGTGGCGTCAATCCAACTCTAGGCAGCCTTCCTACTCCGTCAAACATGCGTACGCAGAATTAGCCGACTCCGCTTGACCAAAGTAGCAGAAGAAACTGATGTCAGACGCTTACCTCCTTTGGATGTATCCTTCCCTTCCCATATTGGATCACCAAATTGCTGTAGCCTTTGTCCAGCAGAATCCGTTTGAAAGCAGGGGTGTCCACAGCCTGGATGAGGGCATCAAAGAGTGTCGTCCCCACTGTCACAAAGACATGGCCGCCTTGGGGCTCTCCCACTTTGACCCCAGTCATCGTTTGTTCACCAAACGACCAGAGGACTCGATTACTGCAGAGGAGAAGGTGCTATGTTATCTCTTGGGGCCAATCGTGCACGTTCGAAGGATCAAGGTTTGCAGTAGAATTACAAACAACCCCACTCTTGCTATCCTAAGTCTGTGGAGGGATTCGATCAGTTCGTTTGTATCATACCACTCCATTGTCAAGCATTAGAAGAGCTGTCCTCTTGGCATTCCTAGTCAGGAAGGAGCGGGCATGGGCTCCTTTGTTGAGATGAGTAAAACTCTTTCGTGCTTTGTTTGAGCTGGTGATAACATTTGACCCAACTTGCAAGAGCTTTGACTTCTCAACTCAAAGGGACACGCAACTTAAATCCAGATTCTTGAGGGGCTTGACTGCTCTACCACCCGTCCAATCGGTTGACCACTGGTGATCGAGCACAGAGACAACTATGAGCGCCAGACTGCCGCGATGAGTATGATAAAACATACAGTATCACCAAATTTGGATAGAATAAGAACTTCACCTTTGCACTGCAAGCCCTCTAGTGTACTCAGTGTCCGCGCGTCCTGCCTACACCAGCATAGCAGGAAGTTCCGCGCACCATGCTAAGTTGCCGCCACATGATGACAGCAAGGGGGAAGTACAGCATTGAAGAGACACTGAGCTCACATCCCCCTTGTATCGCAAGCCATGGCCACGACCGTCCTGACGGTTGGTTGCATTGCCCTCCAGCTGTCAGATCTTCAGCAAATGGATCGCTAACCTAGAGAAGGGCCGCCATGCCCTCAGAATACGCCCACCAAGATGGTTTCTCAATCTCTGTGCTGGTGCCAGTCTGACTCTTAACTGTGTCGTGTACCA